TGATTCCGTTGATCCAATTTGCATCACTATATCCTTCAACAAATGCGGGATAATTATTGTAATGCAATGCATAGTCTTGGGTATATTTCAAATATCCCAAAACTTGTTTCATTGCTATCTAATTAGCTTGGTTGGGATTACTTGTGTATCGATTAAGCTTACTTATTGCACAAGCTATGTCAGGTCGTGTATAATTCATAATGTACATCAAACTTCCCAACACTCGAGCATATTCCAATTGAGACTTACTTTAACCTTTATTCTTTACAAGAGTATGGTTTAAATCAATTGGAGTTTTTGCTTCTTTAAAGTCCAAATATTTGAACTTTTCAAGTACCATTTTAATATAATGAGATTGAGACAAATCTAGACCTTGAGGAGTTTGAAGGATCTTAATTCCCAAAATTGAATCGGCAGCTCCTAAGTCTTTCATATCAAACTTACTAGTAAGCATGCACTTAGTAGCATTTATGTTAGCAATGTCGTTACTCATTATCAACATATCATCCACATATAAACAAATAATGACTATTTGATTTGGAGTATTCTTAATGTAAACACATTTGTCACACTCATTGATCTTGAAACCACAACATTGTTTGGTCAAATTTCACATGCCATTGTTTTGGTGCTTGTTTTAGTCCGTAAATTGACTTAACAAGTCGACACACCTTCTTTTCTTTTTCGGGAACTACAAACCCTTCAGGTTTTTCCATATAGATTTCTTCCTCTAAATCTCCATTTAAGAAGGTTGTCTTTACATCCATCTGATGGATTCGAAGGCCGTACACGGCGGCTAACGCTATTAACACCCGGATAGATGTAATCCTTGTTACCGGCGAGTATGTGTCAAAGTAATCAATACCTTCTCATTGTCAAAACCCTTTAACAACTAATCTTTCCTTATATTTGTCAATAGTACCACCAGATATCATTTTTCTCTTGAAAATCCATTTAGAACCCAAAGGTTTATTTCCCGGAGGAAGATAAACCAATTCCCAAGTATAATTACTTAATATGGATTCTATCTCACTATTGACTGCATCTTTCCAATACTGTGCTTCCGAGGATGACATTGCTTCTTTGAACATTTGAGGCTCATTTTCCAATAAGAATGCCAACAAATCTGGTCCAAAGGAAGTAGCTATCCTTTGACGTTTACTACGTCTTGGATTTTCCTCATCAAAAGTACTTTCGTTTGCTCCTTCCTGAGGTCGCTTAGAATTTTCATTAGACGACTCACATTCCATTTTATACGGATAAATATACTCAAAGAATTTAGCATTATCCAATTCAATTACCATATTAATGTGAATGTCGGGATTTTCTGATTTATGAACCAGAAAACGATATGCCTTACTATTTGTTGCATATCCTACAAAAACGCAATCAACGGTTTTTGGTCCAATCTTTACCCTTTTGGGTTTAGGAACTTGAAATTTAGCCAAACACCCCCACACTTTAAAATATTTTAAGTTGGGTTTCCTTCCTTTCCATTTTGCATATGGAATGGATTGCGTTTTGCTATGGGAAACTCGATTCAGTATTCGGTTAGTTGTATGAATAGCTTCCCCTCAAGTTCTGAGGTAAACCAGAACTTATTAACAAGGCATTCATCATCTCCTTTAACGTTCTATTCTTTCTTTCCGCAATTCCATTAGATTGCGGTGAGTAAGGGGCAGTTGTTTGGTGAATAATGCCATTTTCCAAACATATTTCTTCAAAAGGAGATTCATATTCGCCGCCCCTATCACTTCTTATCAATTTGATCTTTTTGTTTAGTTGCGTTTCAACTTCATTTTTGCATTGCTTGAATGCATCAATTGCTTCATCTTTACTATTAAGCAAGTAAATATAGCAATATCTAGTACTGTCGTCAATGAAAGTTAGGAAATACTTTTCCCCACCGCGAGATGGTATTGACTTCATGTCGCAAATATCTATGTGAATTAAGTCTAAAGGATTTGAATTCCTTTCAACTGACTTATAAGGATGCTTAACATACTTTGATTCCACAAATATTTGACATTTCGAGTTATTGCATTCAAACTTAGGCAATACTTCCAAATTAATCATTTATCGCAAAGTTTTGAAGTTGACGTGGCCTAAACATTCATGCCATAAATTATTTGGCTCAAGCAAGTAAGAAGAAGCTGAAATTTTATTCATATCAATGGCAATTACATTGAGTTTGAAAAGGCCCTCAGTAAGGTAACCTTTTCCTACATACATTTCATTCTTACTAACTACAACCTTGTCGGAAACAAACAACCTTGTCGGAAACAAAAACACACTTAAAGCCATTCTTGACTAGAAGTGATGTCGAGACTAAATTCTTCCGCATTTCAGGAACATGAAGAACATCATTTAGAGTCACAATCTTGCTAGAAGTCATCTTCAAAGCTATCTTGCCCGTTCCTTCATTAATGTTTGCAGTGGTGGAATTTGCCATAAAAACCGCCTCGTTGGGTCCAGTGGAAGCATAAGAAGTAAACAACTCCTTGTTAGCACAAACATGACGAGTTTCCCCCGAATCAATCCACCTTTCTCTAGGATTTCCGACTAGGTTGCACTCCGAAAGCATGGCACATAAATCGTCTATTTCATCATTCTTCTCAATCATGTTTGCTTGACTTTTCTTCTTGTCCTTCTCTGGTGCACGACATTCAGTAGCCTTGTGTCCAACCTTTCCACAGTTGTGGCTATTACCTTTGAACTTCTTCTTTCTTGGGTAATTCTTTGGTCCAGACAACTTCTTTCTCTTTTTACTCGTTGAAGCTTCCTCAAATATATTTGCACCCATTATTGTTGAATTTCCACGAGACTTCTTCTCAGCAGCCTTGTTGTCCTCTTCAATCCTTAGACGAACAATAAGGTCTTCAAGCGTCATCTCCTTGCACTTATGTTTCAAGTAATTCTTAAAGTCTTTCCACAGCGGAGGCAACTTTTCAATAAATGCCGCAACTTGAAATGCTTCATTTATGACCATACCTTCAATCATAAATTTATAATTAGTAAAATAATAAATATCTTGAATAAAAATATTGACTCGGTTTATATCTTCAGCAAGGAGTTCATGAACAATAACTTGCAATTCTTGGACTTGTGTTATGACAGATTTACCGTCAACCATTTTGAAATCCATAAATTTCGCGGCCACAAACTTCTTTAGTCCAGCATCTTCAGTCTTGTACTTCTTTTCAAGAGCATTCCACAATTCTCTTGATGTTTTCATGACGCTATAAACATTGTACAAGCCGTCTTCCAAGCAATTTAAAATATAATTTTTGCATAAGAAGTCAAAATGCTTCCATGCCTCAGTGACCACAAGTCGCTCGTTTTGAGGAGTTTCTTCTCCCAGAACTGGAACATCTTCGCTGATAAAGCGCTGTAAACTGAGTGTGGTCAGGTAGAAGAACATTTTCTGCTGCCAACGCTTAAAGTCCAAATCGGAAAACTTTTCGAGTTTTTCTGCCGGTGCCATCGCCGGTGCAGGAGTTGTGCGACTTGAAGACGCAATTGTCATTGCAGCAGTAGTCCCAACAGAACCATTCTGTTGTTCCGCACTTGTTGTCATTTTTCTGTAAAAGAAATTGACAAATAGAATTAGTATCTCGGTGAAGTTTTTATATCTTCAAACCGAATACGAACAATCGAGTTTTTATATCTCGGATTGAGTAGAAAGTCACAAAGACTTTATTTCAAACTGGAGTAGAAAATTCTAATCTTTTAATCTCCAAAACGGGAGTATATAATCAATAAGATTTTAGTCTCCCAAAGCAGAAAGTAAGATGAATACATAAATAAATAATAAATTCCTTAAGCTTGTTATCACTTTGTATTAAAAACCAGTACAGAATGCAGAAGATTGAGGGGAGAGATTTTAGATTTCCCGGTGGTGGAATGACCAACAAGGGGATGATCAAGCTATTGATGAAGCATTGAAGCAACTAATTGCATAACGGGTCAACAATGCTCTTCAAGCTTTTGTTAGTGGGTTGCCAACTGTACCACTAACTCGACCTCCGAATAACACCGCAACCATAGAAAACCCGCGCTCGGGACTCGCCAATTCGGGCAGTGGAGGAACTCCCAGCGGATCTCGTGATAGAAGGTCAGTATTCCAATTAATTCTGATTTACAAAGTTTAGTACTAACTTTGCAGAAATAGCTCAAGGAGCAGAACAATCGCATAGAGCAGATACATGGTATTCCACACATAATCAAAGGGGTGGATATTGATAAATATTCTCAACAACCTTGGAAGCCAAGTGTCGCTCCTTTGCCAATTCCAAAAAAGTTTAAGATGCCCGATATCCCGAAGTATGATGGGACAACCGATCCACGAGATCATGTAACTGCATTTACAGCTGGCGTGAAAGGCAACGACCTGACCAAGCAAGAAATTGAGTCAGTGCTGGTCAAAAAATTTGGTGAAACACTCACAAAAGAAGCACTAATATGGTATTCTCTTTTACATGAAAATTCTATTGATTCTTTTGCTGAGTTTGCAGATTCATTTATAAAAGCACATTCGGAAGCTCAAAAAGTTGAAAAGAGGATGGAAGACATCTTCAGAAGCCACAAGGAGACTCAAAGAAAGCTTACGAGCATTCCCAGCAACAACTTGGAATGATGTTTACAACAGGTATAGTACGAAGCTGCGGATAGAAGAAGATACTATCACTCAGTCACGGGGAGATAAAAGAGTAAGTTCGAGGCGACTAGAAACTGAAAAAAGGTTCGGTAAGAACAGGTATGAACCTTACATGGGACCCGGAGGAAGGGATTCATGTTATAAATAGGAGAACCCGAGGTACAGTTCTAGATCAAGGGACAAAGACGCAGGTTCGTCATCCAAATTTGAAAAGGAGCGAGACACACGGGACAACGACAGAAGTTCAAAAACGAAGATTGGTGGTTACAGTTTCAACGTTAACACGTCTGAGTTGGTAGCTATTTTAAGAAGCATGGGAGATAAGGTGCGGTGGCCAAAAGAAATGAGATCGAACCCAAATAGAAGAAACCCTGATTTCTGGTGCGAGTTTCATAATGATCACGGTCACAAAACAGCAGAGTGCAGATTGTTACAAGGAGAAGTAGAGCACTTGCTAAAACAAGGTTATTTAACCGATTTGCTTAGTGAGAAGGGTAAGCAAGCATATATGAAGAATAAACAGGAGCCACCAAAACCTCCGTCACCGAAAAGAACGGTTAACGTGATAAGCGGAAGAGAAGAGGTCAATGGTGTAACATATACGACTGCAAAAAAGGTGTCAAAAATCACAGTTACCCACGGAAAGCGAGTTCGCCAAGTTTTGGAAGAAGACAGTATAACATTTGACGATGTAGATGCAGATGGCGTATTGATCCCACACAATGATGCACTGGTAATATCTTTACTTGTACATGATACTAATGTAAAACGAGTTTTGATTGATCCAGGTAGCTCCGTAAACATCATTCTATTAAGAGTGGTCAAAGAGATGAAAGCTGATGACAAATTGGTACCCAAGGCACGTACCTTATCTGGATTTGACAATTCAAGCGTTGTTTCTAAAGGGGAGATAGTACTCACCACATTCGCAGAAGGAGTAACCAAAGATATGAAATTTCAAGTGATAGATATGGACATGGCGTACAATATGATCCTCGGCAGGCCTTGGATTCACGAGATGGATGCTGTTCCATCTACTTATACATCAGGTTATCAAGTTCCCTTCCTAATGGGGAATTAGACAAATCCGTGGTGATCAACAGTCTTCTAGAAGTATCAATTCGGTGGGGGATTCAAGCACAAAAAAGACATTGCGAACGAAAAATAGCAACTATAGAATTCAGTTGAGGGTTTAACAACTCAAACCTCGACCGGATATGGACAAACATATGTGGACTGAAGGCCTGATACTATTAAAGAGCCAAAAGAGAACGAAAACATCAAAACAACAATTGAGGAACTCGAAGTTGTGGTGCTGTTTATACATTGGCCGGATAGAAAAGTTTATATCAGAACCAACCTGAGCCCAGAAATGAAAGGTAAGTTAATTGAATTCTTAAAAGCTAACGCAGATTGCTTTGCTTAGTCACATTCAGATATGACAGGTATACCCCCGGAGGTGATGACCATAAGCTGAATGAAGATCCAACATACCCACCTGTCAAACAGAAAAAAAGGAAGCAAGGATCCTTTAAAACCCAGGTGATTCAGGATGAGGTACAAAAGCTTTTAAAAATCGGGTCTATCCGAGAGGTAAAATATCATAATTGGCTACCTAATACTGTAGTGGTACCCAAAAAGAATGGTAAGTGGCGAGTTTGTGTAGACTATACTGACTTGAATAAAGCTTGCCCTAAAGATTCTTTTCCTTTACCACATATAGATCAACTAATTGATGCTACTACAGGACATGAATTGTTGAGTTTTTTAGATGCCTATTCAGGATACAATCAAATAAACATGGAAAAAACTTCTTTTATTACAGACATGGGGACTTACTGTTATAAAGTCATGCCTTTCGGTCTAAAGAATGTTGGAGCCACGTACCAGAGGTTAGTAACGAAGATGTTTCAAGAACATCTGGGGAAACCATGGAAGTTTACATTGATGACATGTTAGTAAAGTTAACACAGGCGGAGGATCACATCCGACATTTGTCAGATACATTTTAGATTCTCCGCAAATTCAATATGAAATTAAATCTCGAAAAATGTGCATTTGGCGTGTCCTCAGGTAAGTTTTTAGGTTTCCTTGTTTCTAACCGAGGAATTGAAGTAAATCCAGCACAGATTAAAGCCATCGAAATCCCGGATATACTCATAGGCAAAAAAGAGGTGCAGAGGTTGACAGGTAGGATAGCGGCATTAGGGAGGTTGGAGAAAAGTTTTAAATTCTTTTCAGTATTGAAAAAGCAAAGTCAATTTGAATGGATTGTGGAATGCCAACAAGCACTCAAAAATATAAAAGCATACTTGTCAAACCCACCATTGCTGGCTAAACCAAAGGAAGGTAAAAGGCTACTCATCTATCTTGCTGTTTCAAAAGTGGCGGTAAGCACAACTTTAGTTCGGGAAGACAAAGGTACACAATCTCCAATTTATTATGTTAGCAAGTCCTTATTGGATGCTGAAACTCGATATCCTCATTAAGAAAAACTTGCTTTGGCATTAATAATGGCATTTAGAAAGTTGAGGCCTTATTTTCAATGTTACCCAATTTCTGTAGTGACCGCTTACCCCTTACGAAATATATTGCATAAGAAAGAGTTATCAGGTAGATTAGCCAAGTGGGCCATAGAACTAAGTGAATATGAAATCACATATCACCCTAGAACTGCGATAAAATCACAGGTTTTAGCAAATTTCGTGGCAGACTTCAGCCCAGGGATGGTAACAGAAGCAGAAAAGGAATTGCAGGTATTTAACGGGTCTAATCTAGACTTGTACCCTGTTTACTGATGGCTCCTCGAATGTTAAAGGAGCGAGTTTAGGCATTGTTCTAATCCCACCTTCGGGAGAAAATATAAGGCAAGACATAAAGTGCCATCCCATACAATGAAGCAGAATATGAAGCTATGATTGCAGGTCTAGAATTGGCACGAGAGCTCGAAATAGAGCAGGTTATAATCAAAAGCGACTCGCAGCTTGTAGTTAATCAAATGCAGGGGACTTACATAACTAGAGAGGCGAGGATGCAGCAATATTTGGAAAAGGCACGAGATTTGATAAGGCAATTCCAATCTTGGAAAATCATGCAAATACCCAGGGAAGAAAATGTCAAAGCAGACGCGTTGGCTAATCTTGCATCCATTGCAGAAGTGACAAATGAAGAAAATGCTTCCGTAATACATTTGTTTCATTCGGCACTCGATCAAGATAAAAATGAGGTAAATTTAAATAATTTAACCTGGGATTGGAGAAACGAGATCGTTAATTTTTTCCAGTACAGAATTCTACCTGAAGATAAGAAAAAGGCTCAGGCACTTCGACGAAAAGCTACCCGTTATTGTTTGGATCGAGGCAACTTATCGAAAGATGTTCGGTGTACCTTTAGCAAGGTGTCTCAGACCTTCTTAAACAGAGTATGTGATGAGAGAAGTACATGAAGGACACTGTGGAAATCACGTAGGGGGAAGGTCCTTGGTAAAAACCCTAATTAGAGCAGGGTGTTATTGGCCTAAAATGGAAGAAGAGGCAGAAAGCTTTGTGGCCAAATGTGACAAATGCCAAAGATATGGTAACAATATGCATCGCCCAACAGTGTTATTACATCCGGTTATTGCACCATGGCCTTTTATGAAGTGGGGGATGGAAATCGTGGGTGCACTACCATAAGCCAAAGGAAAGGTATGATTTTTACTGGTACTAACTGATTATTTTACCAAGTGGGTAGAAGGAGGTGCCTTCAAACAGGTATGAGAAAAAGAAGTCAGGGACTTCATTTCGTGAAACAACATATGCCAGTTTGGAGTTCCAAAAGAAATCGTGTGTTATAACGGCCCGCAATTCATGGGCGCAAAAATCACAGAATTCTTTCAGAGTTGGCAGATTAAAAGGATAACTTCAACACCTTATCATCCTATGGCCAATTGACAAGTTAAATCAACAAACAAGGTTATTATTAATAACCTAAAGAAAAGACTAAAGGAGTCAAAAGGAAAATGTCCAGAAGTGTTACCAAGAGCTTTATGGGCTTACCGAACAACAGCAAAAATAGGTACGGGAGAGACGCCATTCTCGCTTGTGTATGGTGCCGAAGCCTTAATTCTAGTTGAAATAGGTGAACCAAGTACAAGATACACCCAAGCGACCGAAGATTTAAATGAGGAAGAGATACGAATAAATCTCGATTTGCTTGAAGAAAGGAGAGAAACAACCTTGATAAGGATGGTAGCGCAGAAGCAAATTATTGAGCGATATTACAATCGGAAAGCTCATCTTTGGTACTTCAAGATTGGGGACTTCGTACTCAAAAAAGTTTTTCAATTTGAGCCCAAATTGGGAAGGACCTTCCATGATTCGAAGTATTGCAGGAAAGGGTGCATATGAGTTAGAAACAATGGACGGCAAAGTACTCCCGTCAAATTGGAATGCTGTTCATTTGAAGAAGTATTACTTCTGAAAGGGAAAACCCCCGGTTAGGTATCATTTATGCAAGGTTTAAATTTATTCTTTTTAAATTGTACTAATCATTTTAGATGATAGGCACAAAGCTAGCCCACACCAAATGATGATTTTAGACCTAAAAGACACACGGGATGCAAAATTAACTCCGGTCTGGGTTATAACCTTTCTGATGGAAATAAAAAGGTTTAAGCAGTCATCATCTAAAATTATACCTCCGAGTCCCATATGTTTTTCCTTTTTAGGAAATGGACCACATGGAAGGAATAATCAAGTGCTCGAGATTTCATATTTCAAAGCTATAACACTTGGGGGACTATATATATATAGAAGGCGAAGAAGACGAGAAAAGTCAGAATTCAAGTCATGCCTGAGGCAATCTACCCACAAATCGAAAGTTAAGAGCGAGCAAATTAAGAGCCAAAAATTTAAGCATGATTCAAAACCTATGATGAAGTATACACTCGCAGATGTAAATTACAAAATCTTATGAGTATCTAGGTTAAAGGCAATATTTAGTTGTAGGTTGCAAGATATACCCTTGAATCTTGTAAAATATGTTATAAAGAAAACATTTATGAAAGAGTTGTGGATATTATTCGAATACATGTAAAGTATACAGTTTGAAATTTCAAGAATACAAAACTTCTTCAAGTTATTCTAAGAAATATGTATGTTCCTACTTCTTCTTTCGTATGTTTACACCAATATGAAGTTGAGACGTCTTCTTCATTAAGTGACGTATATTAAAGGCCCTCTTTTATAATTCGTGCTTATTCAAAAGAGTCACGAAGCATTTTAAATATAAAGTTAAATAAGAAAGGGTAAAACAAAAACCCAAACATTAAAGTCGGCGGAAAATAAAGCCCAAACTTATAAATATAAGACAAACATTTGCCTTCAAACCCGAAATGAAGCAAGGGTAAACCGCTAAGAGAGTAGAACAGAAACTCAAAATAAAGGTATTATAAGAGTTAGACAAAAACTTAGTAATATTATAAACTTGGTTAAAACTAAGTATAAAACTTAGTTCCAACCTGATTACTTGATACTAAAACCCCAAAACAGAGTAGGGGTAAAACTTTTCAAACATTACTAAGCCCCCAAATAGGACCAGGGGTAAACTTCCAAATATTCCACCAATAAAAAAAACACTTCAAACTTTTCAAACTTTCACTATGGGGCAGAATCTGAACCAGTAGGATGAAGAATGACATCATCAATAGCAGGAGGAACAACTTGAGCAGAAGGAGATTGAACAACGGCTTCACCAGGAGTAACTTCATCACCCTCGGGAATGCCAACCGCAAGTGAAGAATAGCTCTGACTCTGTTGGGTTTTCTCAATAGTTTCTTTAATCTTTGCAATCTCAGCAGCTAAGTCAAAGCCTTCCTGGCTTGCCTCCATTAAAATGTCGAGGCGTGTGTTCAACAAATCCCAACTAACTTCAACAGCGGCCTTATCTTCAAGGGCTTTATAATCTCTTTCCCACTGCTCAATCTCACTTCTTATCTCTTCCTTCTCATTCAAGGCAGCACCATAAGAAGCCTGTAAGGGGGCAAGTGAACTCTCTAAAAATTGAACTCTGTTAGAAGACACTCGGAGATCTTCTTGAGCT